CACATACGTTGCTCCTGGTTAGTGCCACCGCATCTCCTCAACTATATCCTATTTATGTGTTTATATCGAGAATAATGCCGAACAAATACTCTCTTGTGTTGGCATGCGTGGTGCATGCCAACGCATACAAAAACTGTACCGTAACCATAAACACTACCGACACATAGCCAACTGTCATATTTACTCTTTTTTCTAAACTTATGATTACTTTTTAAGCATATTTTCTTAATAAAGCAAATCACGAAACTATACCTAATTTGCTATTATGTGTTTTTACATGAGCTGAAAATACTAAACCATAGTCAAAAACACTACCGAGCCACCTAATGAACCATCGTTTTTTTAACCGTGAACCATAGAATAATTGTTCTACAGTAATTTTCTATTAATAATCAAAAAAATACAATATATACAAATAGAAATAAAAAAATACAAACTTAGCCAATTCACGAACCGTCATATTTACTGTTTTTATTTAGGATCGCCTTTTTAAGACTCATTTCCCAAACAAACAAATCACAAAAACAATACGCACGCATAACCATATAAACAAGAATGAAATTTATCTATGATCCTTCGTGCGTCTCAAGAGCCCAGGGGAGTGGAAATTGGGGGCTCGCCCGGAATGGACATGCATTGATTCGGGTCTGGTTAGTGCCATGGCATCTCCCCAACTATCCTATTTATGTGTTTATATAAGCAATAACGCCGAACATTAATCTTTTGTGCTGGCATGTGTGCTGCATGCCAGCGCATATGAAAATTCTACCGTAGTCATAAACATTACAGATACACTTGCCAACAATCATATTTACTCTCTTTTTAAACTTAGGATTACTTTTTAAGCTTTTTTTCTCAATCAAACAAATCACAAAACTATACCCAATGTCCTATTATGTGTTTTCACACGAGCCCAAAATACTAAACCGTAGTCATAAACACTACCAACCCACCTAGCAAACCATCATATTTATACGTTTAATTTGGGGTCACCTTTTTAAGCCCCATTTCCTAAAAAAACAAATCACAAAACATTACCCATGCATAACCTATAAAACAGCTTAGATTGTATGCTTTTGTACCAAAACCGAAACTTAACTGATTCTTCGTGTGTCTCAACAACCCACGGGGTGGGTCGACCGGGGGCTCTGTTTTGTTGCTTGGAATGGATGTCCATTGATTCAACCTGGTTAGTGCCAACGCATCTCCCTAACTATCATATTTATGTGTTTATATCCGCAATAACGCCGACCATTATTCTCTTGTGCTAGCATGTGTGGTGGATGCCAGCGCATATCAAAAGTGTATCATAGTTGTAAACACTACCGACACATCTAGCAACCGTCATATTTACTCTCTTTTTTAACTTAGGATTACTTTTTAAGCATCTTTTCTCAATCAAACAAATCACAAAACTTTACTATTATGTGTTTTTACATGAGCCCAAAATACTAAACCGTAGCCATAAACACCAGGGACCCACCTAGCAAACCATCATATCTACATGTTTTAATTTAGAATCACCTTTAGGCCTCATTTCCCAAAGAACACATCACAAAAAAGATACCCATGCATAACCCTATAAAACAGTTTAGATTGTATGCTTTTGAAACAAAACCAAAACTTACCTGTGATTCTTCATGTTTCTCAACAGCCCAGGACAGAAAACTTACCTGGGATCCTTGGAGTGGGGGAGGAGTCTGAGCAGTGCGCCCCTACCGAAGACGGTCGTTATCACATGATGATGCCCTCCGGCGAGCCGAAGGCCGTGATAGTTCAAACGTTACCAGCCACACAGAAAAGAAATATAAAGCAAAACAAATTTGCCGCGGTCCATCACCGGTCGCTGTCAGCGGCAGTAAATAGAGATAATGCACCCCCCGGGGCCCGGGGCAGGACACCGATGCCAGCCAGGACATTAACTATTGAAAAAAATCAATGAATTGTACCCAAAATAAGCGGTGGGAAGAGCGGGAAAAAAGTAAAATATTCGCCTCGATCTCATCAAAGCCCACATCTACTTCCAACTTTAAAAAGTAAAATATTCCATCTCCTTTAAAAATTGTACTTCCAACTTTGTTGGAGGGTCAAACTATTTCAAAGTTTGACCGAGTTTGTGCAAAAATATATCAATGTTGTGAAATCAAATAGGTATATGATGAAAGTATATTTTATCACGAATCTAATGCTACTAATTTGATGGCATAATTGTTGATGTATTATTATATAAACACGGTCAAATATAAAAAAGTTTGACTTTCCAAAAAAATTGGAAGTACACTCTTTGGACGGAGGGAGTAATTATTAATTCCTTACGGTAATCGCTATCCTTTAAATGCTACCTGCTTTTCCTGCGCACATCCCTTTCCCCCTCCCTTCCTTCCAGTCTACTCCTTCTCCTCCTCCACCTCTCCCAAATCACCGAACCCCGCGAAATCGGCAGATTTGCGCCGCGGGAGCGCGCCGCGACGGGTCGATGGCCGCCGCCGCGTTCTCCATCAGGTTCGTGTGGAGGCGCCGCGCCGTCTCATCGGTATTATACTGGTCGTGTTTGCGTTTACTTTTTCCTGATCTCCGTCTGTGATCTGTCCTAAGGGCGTACGCGGCGAGCATGAGGGGCGGGACGGCGGGGGGGCGGCGTCTCTTGGGAATCGAGGATCTCCCGCCTCTCGGAGCGCCGAGGTGCCGGTGGTGGGCGGACGAGCTCGCCTCCACCGTGGCTGCCGCAGCTGCGGCGGCGGCATCCTCGAGGAGGGCGCAAGTGAAGGCGAAGCCGCCGAAGAAGCGGTCCATCTCCGACCTCTTCGCCGCGGCGCCCCCCTTGGCCGTGCCTCCCGCCGGTGATACCGGATGCAAAGAGCAAATGGAGGTGGACGGCGACGAGGCGGTGTGCGCGATCGCGAGGCGGGCCAAGGAGGATAAGAAACGAAAGAAAAAGCTGCAAGAAGAGGAAGAGGGGCAGAAGGAGGAGACGACGGCAGTGGATGCCGCGCCGGAGAGCTGCGGAGGCCGAGAGGCCGAGGGGAATTTCGCTGCAAGAAAGGTGCGTGGTCCAGCCCAACCCAGCCCAACCCAAGTCTTCCCTGCCTTTTTTTTTTTGCAGTGGCAAGTCTTCCCTGTCTGCCGGTGCAATGATATCACGTCTGCTATTATTCCCACGTATTTTTACTTTTATCTCCTAAGCATTGATGGGAATGATTGGTTCATCTCTTGATTCACTTGCTGGACAGTATGAGGATGGTTAGATGCTTGCTAGCTCCACATAATTAGATTTTTTTGTCTCATTGCCATGTTACTAGTACTATATATTAGCAGCTAATGTGATTGCTATTTGTGGATACATATTGTGGGGGCAATTAGTTGTGACTGGTTCTATATGGGACCGATGCATCACTTCGCAGGATATTTTATGTTAGATGTGCCGATCCCGGTTCCTAATTTATTCTAAACCAGGCCTAGCTAGTTCGTCTACAAGATTGTGTGGTTACTCGATAATTGCTGCCATGTGCACGGTGATTTTCTGTCCAAACCTTTACGGGGCTTTTGCTAACTGCTAACGTTAGAACTATCAGTGTGTTTTCTTTCTTGGTACATTGCTACTTCTTTACTATCTGTATACGTAAATATTGTTATTTCATGCTTAATTTGTGGACTTTGATAGATCAGTCCAAGTCGAGGAATGGGACATTCGATTTGTGCAAATCTTGGGCAAACTTGGTGACGTTGATAGTTGCTCATGCAGTGAATTAGGATCAATATAATCAATAAGAATCCGGTAGATTATATAATGACAACCAATAATCAAACCACTAGTGGCAGTACGTGCACTCTAGACCGGCTAGCTAGTACTGCAGAATATGTACCATATCTTATAGTACATGCATGGGGCGTCGTGTTGCCTTTTGACACACCATGCACGATGAGTTGTGAGAGGTGCCTAGTTGGTATCCCTCCTGCAGATTTCAGTCGGGTCTGGGTCCGCACCCGTAAACGAGACTTTATCATAGGACGATCGAGGACATGGAGCAGGCATTTACCTCATTGATATTTGAAAAGGGGGCTTCATCATTACTTATCTGATACTCCCTCTGTAAACTAATATAAGAGCGTTTAGATTCCTACTTTAATATTCTAAACGCTCTTATATTAGTTTACGGAGGGAGTACTTTTATTCGCTTATATCGACCCGTCTTATTGTTCACTAATTCGTGATGTACGTATGCCCATGATAGCTATTCTCAATACATCCGTTAAGCATGCATACAAGCAGTGTTTCGAAGAGGGTGGTGGTTCCTAGTATGCATGTCGCAGTCAGACTGTCACCATATGTTTGACATGATCCGTAATCTGTTATTTGTACTGTTTTAGGGACTATTCCAGTAATTAACTTATAAATTGGACTAATATGATAGAAACTTAATAGGATACTCTTTTGGAAGAATCTACTATCAACCTAATCCTAATTGTTGAAAAGTAGATACTTGCTCACCTGACTGATCGCGTTTCGACCGCCTCCGCGGCCGTTGAATCTGAGTTTGATCTGACGAAACACAGCTCAACTCTCTCCCACGCGCTGACTCAACATGTTTTCGACATGGGCTATGTTGCAAAGACTTGAAGCCCAACATGGGTTTGTTGCGGTCTGATCAGGTGAGGCGTCCGTCTTGTTCTCCACTCCTTCGTCTTCTTGTTCCACCTCGGTTCACCGTCGTCCGGCTTAAATACGCCGCCTTCCGTCCGTCTCATCACCTTTTGTCTGTCTCTGGCCACCTCGTCCATGCCTATGGATCATGGCAAGGCCCTCCTCCGTCCCCCCCTCTTCCCCAGTTGATCTTGGCTCTGGAGACATCGCCTTACTCGAAATCCAAGCTTTCGGCTACGGCCGCCATGGCCATGGAGGCCAAGATCGGTCGACCTTCCATGGCTCACGTGGCCTCCCATGTAGCCCCGCGCCCCACGTCCGCACACCCAGATCCACCACCCCATGCACCCAAACACTCCTCGCGCCGCTCTAGCCGGCGGCTTCCCGACTGCATCGAAGGGGATTTGTTTCTGCAATACAAGCTGTGTTTGATTTTGTTGCCGCAATGGAGGCCATGTTTCAGAATGAAAAAACCCGGTTTGGGGTGATTACAACAAGCCTCTTGGTGCATAGGGCCGAGCGGAACACTACATTTATTGCAAAGGGGGCAATAACATTTTTTCTAGTAATATGGGTCTTTTTTCATTATGTTTTTGAAACATAGGTCTTGTTTCAAAGAAACAATGGTTTGGCGGGTGAGCAACAAGGTTCATGTTGCAAAGCATCGAGCGCAACACGAGTCTTGTGGCACATGCTGACGGGCAGAAAATCTGAGAGCTTTTCCCAGCTCACCATCCAATGGCTACTGAGGCGACATATCTTTTCTAAACATCACCTGCCAGATGCGTTACATGCCTTTAAAAGTAAATTACAATATTATTTTTGCTTTATTGAGAGGGGCTGTCCCCTTTATATCGTAGACAAGACTTGACTAATAAGCCGGTAAATCTATTCAAACTCTAATACGACCACTAAACTAACAGGCTTGTGGAAGTGAGGCACGCCTGAACCAGAACTTGATATGAGGTGATTGTTTGGTATGGGCGGGAGGAGGTGATGGGTAGGGTGGATCCATATAGGGTTGGGGGGGGGGTTGAGGTCAAAAATTGCATATGAAATAGGTTGGCAGGTGGAGGCTTCAAGGCAGTAGAGGCGGTCGGCGAAAATCTGCGTCGACGGCTGCTCATGGGTAGCAAAATTGGGGCTGTAGGGTGTGCCAAGTGGCCTAGATTGATGCTAGCAGTGGTCGACACATGGTGTCGTTGCAAGTGGAAAGTGAGGGAGTGTGGGGGGCAATCTACCCGGTGGGTGGAGGTCTGTCGGCAGCGGCAGTGGCGATTCCCTCGATGGATATTGGGACACCAAAGGTGCTATTAACAAGGGGAAGCACCAGGGGTGCATCGTCGTTGGGGAGGAGGGCTTGGGATGTGGAGGTAGCGTCATGGGTGGCTGATGTAGTCGTGGGATCTGGCGGTGGAGGCAGGGCCGGCTTCTGTTGCTCAAGTGTTGCACCAACCTTGCGAGGAGCGTCTAGTCCACTGCTCGGTAGCGTGTGAAGGCCACCAATTTGTTTCGTGATGATCTTTATGTGCTCAAGAGCCTCGATCTCAACCAAATTGGAAGAATCTAGTACTGACATAAACCTAATTACTGAAAAGTAGATAAAAGTAAACGACAATATTCTTCTCTGCTTTATTGGAAGGGCTTGCCCCTTTATATAGTAGACAAGACTTGACCAACAAGCTGGTAAATCTATTCAAACTCTAATACGATCTCTAAACTGACTGGACTCTTTCGTAAAAAAGATGCTTAATCAATTAGGACTCTAATTAAGGGATAAGACTCCACGTATGATAGTCGATCTGGTCCACATAACATCTTTAGGGTACTGAGGTGGTGAATCTACCCACCTAATAGTTACCTATGTTTGAAGCGTGTGTATGACCATAGATATTTTCTCTTCACATCTGGCAAATAGCATTTTGAATTTCCTACGTACCTTGTATAAACGGCAGCCCCATGCATGTAGCTCCCGCTTGCGTAGGGTCCGGGAAAGGGTCCGACCACTTTGGGTCTTTTGTACGCAATCTTTCCCTGCATTTTTAGAAGTGGTTGTTTCCAGGACCCAAATCCGTGACCTCATGGTCACAGGGCAACAACTTTACCGCTGCGCCAAGGCTCCCCTTCCTTCGTACCTTGTATATTACACTATTTTTTTTATCGAGATCATGGTCATAATATTGTTACTTTTAGTTTCGTTCTTAGCTGAACGATTTTGATATTTTGTTATACATATTTTCATTAATTGTGTGCATCTTTATTACTAGTATAGAAGTTAAATGAAAATTGTGTATTTCGTCGAAATCTATTGTGCCCTTTTAAAATACACTGTAGGGCTGCTGAATTGCTCATGGATATTCATTTATCACATTAACAAACAAGATTAATTAGTTGCTCTGTCAATTAGATGTTATTAAGTATATAAGATAATTGCCAAAACAATGGTTTTTGATTGGTGCACTGAGGACGAGTACACACCATTGTGACAACTATGTGATCCTTTTTGTCGAAAAAATCAACTACACAGCTTAATGAGTGCACAACTATATTTTTGTTGAAAAATCGTGAGAACTTTTAGTCTCAATCGCAGCATCGATAGATAAAAAGAAGTTCAAGAAATAGGTTCGTTACACAAATACTCATTCAGTAATCAGTATGCATCTGGAGGACTTGGAAATATATATTGCATTGTTTTGTAGTTTAACTTCAATTTTCATTCTTAAGCTAGCGCTATAGAATGTTCTGTAAGGACTGGCCTAACCATATGAAAATGATTCTACAAATTTGGGTACAATCTGGAGAAGAGAATGAAATAAATTGGATGGAAATATGAAGTCACGGTAATATAACTCTTAACCAACTTCAAATTTGGATTGTAGAATAATTGTATATGTATTTCACTCAAAATATGGACATGAACGTGCCATAACCAATATCCAGTTCCTGTCTGATCCAACTATTATTTTTATTACTTTTATATCCTGTGGTATAAGTGGTTAATGCACATATGTTCCTCACTATAGTGCACTTTTTACCTAGTCATGTGATTTAAGCTGTATAAACTACAATGGCTGTAAATAGTTGTGCTTAATAGTGGATTATTCTACCTAGAGTTTTGCATTCCACCTGGTTATTACTTTTACCTCGCCGTTTGCGTTCTGTTCTCACGTACTTGATTGCCAGGTGGGTGAGGATTGGATCTGAGGTAGTAGTCGTGTGGGTCATAAAAGCGGTATGCATTGGTGCCGGAAGTCCTCTCGCATCCGATGAACACCATCTTCGTGCTGCGACCAGCATGCTTCGGGAGGTGCGGCTCCACCGGCTTCACAGGCTCATTTACCCAAACGTCTGTAGATGTGACATATTTTGGCTTAACCCGTAGATGGCTTTTTCGGGGCGAACTGTTCCACATCCAAAGTTCCAAACTCTCATTCCAAATTAATGCTAACTAGTGATAAGTAGAGATAATAGGTATCTCGATCTGCCTGGACTCCTGAAGCGGTTGGTGTTGTAGCTATCCGCCTATGCAGGTACCCACATGACATTTGGCATCTTGGGTCCACTTGAGGCACCATACTTAACACTAGGTGGCATCAATTGGTGCATGTTGTCCTGGATCAAGTCTGAACGCCCACATATTTTGCGTGCCGCTTCATGTTGTGGATTGTGTCCATTGTATCTACATTTGAGCAATTTGTTCGTAGATTTGGTCCAGGAAAGCTCATACACATCAATGCCACATCATTTCCAGTGTGGCGCCTGCGAGATGTGCCTAAGATGTCAGTATGTGGTTCAGCTCGTGTAGCTTGATACTTCTCCAAAAGAACGTAACCATGTTTGCATCGAGCATTTATTCCTATAGAAAGTGTTAGAGCCACTCTGCATCCATCAGCACCTATAATATATATATGTCTACATAGGACTGTAACGCTGGTATGATCTTAAAACTAATTTTCTCTTAAACATTGGTGATGATATACGGGACTGGCATTAACAAGTGGGTGCGAAGTGTAAACGCATGATTTATCACCTATATGCATACCTGCAACACCAATCCCATTTGTGTATAACACACTTGTGCAGAAATTTCCATGATCCAAATAAACATATGCAGCAACTTTCCCGTCTAGGGTATTCCACTGTCCTGATGATTTGTTTGAAATCGGTAATTATCTGGTAGATCTGATTTGTGTTGTTCAGTTTTTCGTTTATTTTTTGTACTCACAGCTATATGTATCTTATGGTTTCAAATAATGCTCTTCAATTCAGCAGGAAGCACTTGAAAATCCAAACCTGTTTGATGGACTGGATACTCACTCATTACAGAAACCTGAGGCTTCACAACATCACAGAGAAGAGAGAGAAAAGATATCTGAGAGAAGGAAGCAGGGGAAGATCAATAATATAAACAAGAAGAAGGCTAACACACAAAAGCACATCGGCAACAGTAAAGCTGACAAAGTGGGGAAACCACGAGATCTGGAAAATTTTATCCCTAGGCATGGCATTCTAAAGTGCACAAAGCACACATCAGTGAAAATGGTCAAGGAGAAACGTGGCAATTCAGAAGGCAAGGAAGTAATAGAACTCTGCCGCAAATCAGTGAAACGTGTCAAATTCTCAGAAGCAGATGCTATACTTGAGCTACCAGAACGACAAACTCTCTGCAAGATGTTTTCAGATATTATGGCTTCTTCATCGTCGTCCTCGTCATCATCATCATCATTCACGTCTACCGAAGGAGACAAATGCATAACTGCAGAAAGTGGTAGTTCTCATATGCCCATGGAAGCTTCCACTAAGGCGAAAGCAAATAAGAATTCAGATCATGAGGATTCTCCTGACAAAAGCATAACTGCAGAAAGTGGTACTTCTCATATTGCCATGGAAGCTTTCACTAAGAAGAAAGAAGCAAATAAGAATTCAGATCATGAGGATTCTCCTGAGGCTGGTAACAGAGAGATGGCTGCTCCTCTCATTGATCTGAATATGGTGTTACCGGAATCTACTGAACTGGACCAAAGGTATGATTCATATTCAGAGGTGCCAAATCTGGAGCATACACATGAGGAAACTTAAGTTCTATTGTCCAATTGCATGATGGGAGAGAAAACCTGAAGATTTTTTCTGTTGATTCACATAGGCTGGAAAGCGAACAATCTACTGCTGACTTGGAAAGAATAACGAATTCAAGTTCGGCAGGCACATTATTGCATGGTGAGGCTATAAAAGTTTCTGATGTAGATGTTGCTGGTTCTCCATTGAGCTTAACTGAACTTGCACAGACTCATCGTGGTTGCAGTAATGTTTCAGTAAAAGATACTATGACTATGAGTACATCTCCTTGTGCATTGCCAGATCATACATTTCCGGATTCATTTCGGCAGCACCAGAGTTGGTTTTCCACAAGCGGCAAATTTTCTTCCTGGCCATCTCATGAATCTAATGTGTCACACAGTAAGGAGTTCAATTTTCGTTCTGAGTTGAACATTCCGCGTGAGAATGGACCTTCCACAGGACCGACAGTTCGTTTGATGGGTAAAGATCTTTCAATTTGCACGACCAGAGCTGAATCGTTTTCGGAGACTGCGCAGAAGCATACAGGTACTTTTACCAATGACTATCTCAACGCAAATGTGTTCTTGCCACAACAAGGACGGCCTTTTCTCTCTTTACAAGCTCAGAATTTCCCCAATGATACAGCAAATTCTACCAGTATAATTCATGCTTCAACATATCATGCAAGCGCAAGTCAGGCACAGACTAGACATGATTACGGCCACCCCGTCCCGGCAGCTAATTTTCTTTCTGGAGATCAGTTGACATATGAAAACAGGTTTTTTGATTTTTCAAACTCGCAGACCAATCAGCCTTTTCTGTTGGGGTGCCCACATCCTCCCAATCGTGGCAGTGCAGCATTCCAACAGAATTCCCCGTTGCGCCGTTATTACTCTGATCCTATCCCTAGGACAGAAGCACCCACAGCATCACCTTTGCCTACAACCAGACAGCATGGTACACCATCTTTCGGTTTCCATGCCAATTTGCCTCAGCAACATGTTGTGCATCCAGCAAGCTCGTCAGTTTGTCGTCTTAATTCTGTGGATTTTACATTCAACCATCCAGACCGGGTAGTTCATACACCTTCCAACAGCATAAGAGATGCAACCCTTTCGGCAAGAAATACAGATAGCACAGTGGGGAGCGCTGTTCTTGGCAATTTTAATGCTTCACCTAGTGGTCGGTATGTGCAGAAGAGATCAGGCCCAGTGAAGCTCACTCCTGGGGCGAAGCATGTACTTGTGCCAAACGATAGCACAGGTGACGGCGATTCTACGCCTGTGTACTCTTGTGTTTCGTTTGATAGTAGGAGCACAAATGCTGCAGGTCCTCAGAACAAAGGAGCATGATGCCCTTAGTGGAACTTTTGCTTGGTTGCAGTTGCATGAATCTATAAAACATCGGCACTGTTTTTATTCAGTTTCATTCATTTAGTTGGAACCTTTTGAAAAATGTTTGTTACATTTTTTTGTTTTAACAGTTGGGATGTTTCAAATGCTGCTTCGTTAGTAGTTATTTCGTCAGCTGAACCTGAATCCATGGCTGGTGTAGCCTAAGACATGTAGTCTGTTATATTTCTGTATTGTTACTCTTGGTCTGAAAGTTAAATAGATGTTATTGGCACAAAATGTTACCTACATATTTGCAAGGTTCATTTTCAATAGAGCAGGCCCCGAGCTCATGCTATTTGTGTCCTGAAACCCTGTCCAATATAAGTTGCCCTATGTTTCAAAAATAAAAGTTGTGGTTTTAGTTTAAATTTGAACTAAAACCATGATACATATTTTGGAACAGAGGGAATATATAATAGTTTTTTCTTCTTCTGAGAAGACAATTTCGTTTCAGTGTTTGTCCCGTGTCAGCCAGCTATAGACCGATCAGTCAGCTGCCGGCCGACAGGGTGCGGGACCCACAGCGCGGCTGGCTCTTTCTCCTTTCTCCCTCCTCCTTTCTCCCACGCGCGAGCTCTTCTCTGTTTTTCTTTCTTCCTTTTCTTCCACGAACATCCTCTAATTTGTACACCCAAATGACCCATTTTTTTGCGGTTTTGACACCATGAATGGGTTCTACGTGGTTAGGGGAGCCAAGGGAGACCTCGATCTCCTGATGGTGTAGCTCGTGGTGTTCATGGTGAGCATTTTGGTGGAGCGTTTTTTCAGCTCATTGGTGGAGATTGTGGCGGCGGTGGAGGTGGACGTGGTGTTGGTGAAGCTCAGGCAGTGTGGTGGAGGTCAAGCTATGGCGGTGTGGCAGAGTTTCTGGCTCCGGTTCCGTTGATTGAAGGCCGCCGTCCATCATTCGTGCGCACGCTTCAAGGGAATATTTCAACACACATTTTATCTTCCGTAATTGTTTCGGGTAGTATCCGGTACTATATATTTTGATGTGAAATAAATTAGGTGTGCAACTATTGTTATTTGGTCCGATAGTATCCATAAATATATTTAGATGCCAACTATTTAGTTGTGTGAAAATTTGAAGTTGCTCCGGTAATATTCCGTACTATATGTGGATGTCAAATATTTAGGTGTGTCAGTATTTGGAGTTGCTCCTAGAATATCCGTAATATATGGTAGATGTCAAATATTTAAATCTGTCAATATTTGTAGTTGCTCCGGCAAATATTCGTCTATGAATATTTTTAGTTGCTCCGTATATATTCCGTAATATATATACATGTCAAATATTTAGTAGTGCGGATATTTTAAGTTGTTGCTTAATACTTGTCTGTCGTTGTTGAAAATAAATTAGGTGAGCCGAGATGTCTGATGTAGTGAAGTTCATATTTTACTACGGTCCTGGTACTGTCCAAGCAACTGAGATGGAAGCTAATCTGAGTGAATTTACTCACATAGAAGTGCCAATGAGTGCGCCTCAAATATGGTCTGTCAGTCTGTTGAAGAATGGATTGCGGCAAGTTTAGGGCTTGATACTGAAACACACACACCGTCCGTGTTCATGCATTGTGGACACGGTCAAGTTCAATAATTTACTTCTATTTGAGGCCAATAGAGCGAGACTCCGAGTGGGTGCGGTGGTTACAAGGTTGTGAACGCAGGGGATGCAATCCTGTTGCCTTAGTGCTTCCCGTCGTGAAGGAGGTCACTACACATGAATGCGAGGGTGGCTACGATCCTGGGTAGAGCAGTGGAGGGAGGCAATTATCTATGTCAAATGCTGGAGATGATGGTTACGAACTAGGACAGAGCAGTCAGGTAAAAAGAGGAAATGCTGATGGTTACGAACCAGGGCAGAGTAGTCAGGTAGAAGGAGGAAATGCCGATGGTGATTACAGTGGCGAGGTGGACGCTGATGAGGTAGATGGGCCAATGTAGGACCAGATGGAAGAAGAAGACACCGATGTTGATAGGGGTCATGCCGATGATTCTGACGAGTCGGATGAAGAAGAAAATGTAGAGGAGGTCCCGAATCCTTCTTCATGGAATCATGACTTCTCATCTGCAATGATCGTGAACGACGGACATGATTCTGCCTGGCAATATCAACAGAACAATATTGCGACGGGTGATATGTATCCCAACAAGCAAGCTCTAAAGGATGCAATAATTAATTGGGCGATGTCTATGCAAAGGGTTTTTATAGCTCATGTATCAAGTTAGAAATACCTGACAATGGTATGCAAGAACGCAGATTGTCCCGCCAGGGTGCACGACTATCTCCCTAAGTATGGCACAAGTTAGGTGGTCAATGACTTAGTTAATCACACTTGTCTTATTCCCTGCATCCCTCAAGATCATGCCAACCTTTCATCGACGCTTATTGCTCGGTTGTTTTATGATGAGATAGTGGAGGGCAAAGCTATGGAAGTGATAGCTATCCAGAAAAAAGTCTTCGCCAGGTTGAAGTACAAAATTTCTTATGGCAAGGCTTGGATGGCTAAGCATGTGGTGCTTGAGAGGAGATTTGTTTCTTATTTTGATGCATATGACTCTGTTATCCAGCTCCTCCACACACTGCAGCACCGGAATCCAGGCACCAATATCGATATCCAAGACCTCTTCATGCCAGAGTTCCCAATTGTGAGGGTGTTGCATCGTCTCTTCTTCTCTTTCGGTGTATGCATCGAAGCTTTCAGGCATTGCCGACCGGTGATATGTGTAGATGGTACTTTTCTCACTGGCAAGTAAAAGGGTCAGATCCTAATAGCCATAGGTCAAGAGGGCCAAAATCAAGTTGTCCCACTCGCATTTGCTTTTGTGGAGAGTGAGAACATTGAAAGTTGGACATGGTTCTTCAGGTAGTTGAAAATATTAGTTGTGAAGGAGAAGCCTAATGTGTGCATCCTTCATGACAGGCATGCATGTATACTCAGTGCGATAAGGACACTAACAAACCCAGGCCCTGAGGAACAAACTCCATGGAAGGAATTGCAGAGTCGTTGGTGCATGCGCCGCCTGGGGGCTAATTTCTTCTCGCAGTTCAGAAATAAGAACCTGATGAATCTGTTCGAAAAACTCTGCAAGCAGAACAAGTTATGGAAGTACAATTTGATACGTGACAGACTTAATGTGTGCACGTAGAGACACGTTAGGGAAAGGAAAGCTGCAAGAGATGCAGTTGTGAGGGCACATGTTGAAGCAGTGGCTGCATAGTTGGCAACAAGAACATCGGCCGTGGAGGAGGAGCCTGTTGGGCTATGTGACCTGCTAGGCTTTGACCCACCTGGTACTAGGATAAGGCTCAGAAGGTCGATTAAAACCTTCCAACAATGGATAGAGCATGAGCCTCTAGATAGGTTGTCTTTGCTACATCACACACATGGAGCAAGGTACGGTGTCATGACAACCAACCTCGTGGAAACATACAACTTTGTCCTTAGAGGAAACTGGGCATTGACACTTATAGCCAACATTGAGGGTA